AGATGCCAATAATGTCATGTGTGAACGTGACTGATGGCTACTTCTCCCACTTGGAAATTGGAATATATTTATGATTTCATATCCTTTTCTAGCATGTTTTTATCTAATCATATCAAACTAAAAAAATAAAGTGCTTATTTTTTATTTTATATATACAACTTAGTGTTCATAAAGTTAATAACGAGAAAATAATTCTATAATAAAAAAACTCTAAATATATAACAAAATTGGAGATAAATTAGAGTTCAACATTGTAATAATTACATTCCTGATAAATTCAGATAATTTTAGAGAACTCAACATAAATTGATTGATAGAGAAATTGTTTTTTTTTCCTATCAATATAATTAATTGTACTATCATTTATAGAATATATGTTTGAAGTTTTATTAGAAATTTAAATTTATTGTTTATTATAATAATGTAATTAATATTGTAATATTTAAAATAGATAAATTATTAAAAATGTGGATAAATTTTAGTGATTGTAATTTTTAATTTTCTATTTTAGATAAATTTTAGAGAATCCAAGGATCTTCAATAAATTTTCTAAAACAAAGATAATATGGATTTTCAGTATTTTTTTTGGTTGATTTTAAAATCCGAAAGATTTTCTGAAATGGAGAAAGTATGATAGAAATTGTAAATTTTTCTAAATTTGGAGAACCTTCTAAATTGATTATCAATTAGAGAAAATTGTTTTTTATCGTTCCAACTAAGAAATTAATATGGTGTTTGGTTGACTATGATCTGATGAAAACTGAGGGAATTGGAATGGTTAATTTCATTGATCAAATCCCATTTATATGTTTGCTTATTTTATGAGTTTTAATATATATTCCAATTCCACACATGTTGAAATTTAAGTTCCTTAATTATAAGGGTGGTATCTGATTGGTTTGAGTTTGACTTTAAAAGTCAAAAGTACCAGGAGGTCCCAGATTCAAATTCAATGAGGAATAAAAATCCCCTTACGGTCAGCGAGATTCAAATGCGGTGACTTCGGGCTATCAGCAAAGCAGGTAGTCGTCCTGGGATTAGTCGGCGCGCATAGCGTTTGGATATCTAGGTTAATTAAAAAAAATTAAGTTCCTTAAGTTTTAGTGAAAAATTCAAATTCCATTTATCAAATCTTTTAAGAAAGATTATTATATATTTATATTTACTCTAATATATTCCATCTCACCATAACAATTGTCACCATCAGCGTTGCCACTACCCTTACCACCATCACTACCACCATCGTTGTCGTTACCACTATTGCATCCACTACCTCCACCATAACAACCACCATCTCCCATACTACCACCACCATCAAGATTAATGCCACTACTATCCCCATCACTGAACAAACATCAACATTACTACCACCAACACCACCGCCCTCGCCACCGCTATAACCAATATCTCCACCACAGTCACAACGCCACCATTGTTGCCTCTACCATTGCCGACATCACTGCAACTGACCCCACTACCACCATCGTCTGTTGCTGCTACAACACCGTAATCAATTATTAATATTATTATTATTATTATTATTACCAAAAAGGGTATTTTGATATTTATCACTATTAATTCTATAATTAAATTTAGGGATTAGAGAACTAAACAAACATATTCCAATTCTCTTGATAGATTTTATTTCAATTCTTGCCAACTAAATACAAACCTGATTAAATTTCATTCAAATTCCAGTTGCGACAGATTCTATCATGTCAACGAAAAGCCACCTAAACATTTAGAAAATACAAGCAATGTTTTATTATACGTATTGAATATTTTAATTATATGATTATGAGAAATTATTGGAGTTAAATATTTTTTTTTCGGTTTTTGATTTTGATTCTCCCGATAAATTTTGAAGAATCTATTGGAAATACTCTTAACTTCTCTCTTCAACTTTCTCCATATTAAATAAAATTTTGAAGAATTTGTTGGAATAAAAAAAGACTCAAATCTTCAAAATCTCAATTTTGGAGAATTTCATTGGAGATTCTCTTATACCTCTCTCATACTTTCTACATTTTAATGAAAGTTTTGGAAAATTTGTTGGAGCAAAAAATCTTCAAAATCTCAAATTTTATTAATCTTAGAAAATCTGTTGGAGATACTCTTAGTAAAAATATTTATTTTATTATCTAAATATACAAGCAATGGTTTTTTTCCACCATTGCCATGTTTTATTAATTAAAATTATGTTTATTTTTTTCTATTAACACTTGCCTATATAAAAACTCTATCTAACAACTGATCAATTATACATTGAATAAACTGTTTCGATGACATATATTACTGTTATCCTCTTTTTCTAAAATTATATTCTGCTTGAACTTTTATTTGGGATTGGTTATTGATTTTGTGGGTATATGAACTTTCAAATGATTTTGTAATTGAAATTGTTTGGTTTTTGAGTCCCATCTTCCATAGACCATGATTAAACGATAGTCTTTCATATTTTTAGATTTGGGTATCGATTATTTTTGCTAAATATACTCAAATTACTATAGAAATTTTTTAATTTTCCAACGGATAAGCACAGAGGTTCATGTCCCTGCATACTGTTTTTAATCAATATTTAAAAAATTAAATAAGAAAGGACTTGAAAATTAGAAGGGAAACAACAAAGCATGAACTACATAACACTATTTTCAAATATGTAGCAACCACAAATAAGAGATATTAATTGTAAAAAAAAAAACTTGATCTGTTGTATTCAAAAGAGCAATGTTGAGGAGCAATAGAGCAAGGGGAGGAGCTTCTGAGTAGCGACACATACACAATGAGCGGAGTATCCAACAACGAGTGACGAAAGAGAGTAGCAGACGAGTTATGGAGGAGGTCTTGATTTCTTTTTGCTTATGTTTCTGATTGGTTGATGGAGATGGTATCTGAAGTCCAAAGGAACATGTTTGTCCAATAACTTTAAATCCATCTTAAAAACATGTTAAAAGTTATTGGTAGCCCATAACTTGAGACCTATAAAGACTTTACAAATCTCATTTTCTATCCATGTAAGACAAATTGTTATAATATGTATTCTTTTGTGAAATGGTATAATGATGGCTAAATGCATAAAGACTGGCCTTTATGCATTAATTTTAACTCGTAGATAAATACAAATGTACGATTGAATGAATAAGCTTTAACCCATTCCACATTGATAAAAGTGAAATTTATGAACTGTTTATAAGTCTCAAGTTATAAACTACCAATATTTTTTAACCAAAATTCTAAATTAATTTACAAGTTATTGAGTTAGGGATTGTTCGGTTAGAAGTTAACGAGTTTAATGATATGAAGACTTATTTGGTTATCCATTATATGGTCATCAATAATGATTAATTCATTTTAGTCATGTCTTTTTCCCAACCATACCATTTTGCTCAATGTAAAATCGATTGCTTTATGCATTAAGTGATGTTTTAAATTTTGGTTTTAATTGGTTTATTTATAAGACAATAAAAATAAAACCCGTGAAATAAATATAAAAATCAGTCAACAAAGTCAACATCAAATTGCAAAACGAAGGAAGAGTAATAGGGTTTTTTTTTTTTTTTTTTTGTAAGGGTGTCCGGGCCAAAGCCCGACTAATCCCCGGCAAATTTGGAGGCTAAACATGGTCCCACTTAAATGTCGCCAACACTCCCATCTCAGGGCTCGAACTCGGGTTCATGACTATGTCATGCCCAAGCCTTTACCACTAGGGTTTGACGTCATAATAGATGCCACGATTTTTTTTATTGGTATTTAGATTCATGCCTCCTTATACTAGATACAAGTACATATGATACAAATTCTAATTAGCTTATAATTTTTTTTTGAAAGATGACAATATTATTGAACAATTTTTTTTAAAGAAATACAGAGTAGACCACTACGAGGTGGAGAGGTTAAAGGAAACACAAAACAAAACAAGACGGAAGCTAACGAAGATAATACAAAACAAAGACCACACAAATATCATATTGGATGTATACCAACACATCTTTTAACGGAGGTTCTTATAAGAATAGACTTTTTATATATTTTTTTAATTACATTATTTGCAACTTATTAAGGGGGCGTTTGGATTGCTTATTTGAAACAATTTATGTTTTTCTATAAAAATTCTTATCAACTCATTATAAGTCAGAATGACTTGATTTCTTCAAAAACTTCTTATTACCGGTTTGATATCGGTATACGCTGTTTATCCAAACACTCAAAAGTGCTCATTACAGTTATCAGATCGGAATAAGTCAATAAGTTGTTTTTATGAGCAATCCCAAACACCCTCTAAAATAAAATTATATATAAAACTCCACAATTATAGTTCTTATAAAAACCCATTTTGTAGGTTACGTGTATAATATAAGTTAAAATAAATATATACATATTAATATTATATAACATACTAAAATCAAGAAAATACATCAGGAAAAAACTAACAAAATATCACTTCACACAAATTTTAAGGTAAAAAGTAAGATTCTTATATAAAAACTTTTTTTAATGATAGTTCTTATAAAAACTTATACTTTTACTTATAAGAATCGAATACTGAAAATGCTCTAATATCGATAACATATCAAATGATCCAAGCGTCAAATTAAAAAGATGTATTAAAAGTTTAAATTCTATTGTCATTAGATTAACTATAAAATTCACATCATTTTTCAACTTATTAAAACATAAAAATAATATCAATTAAGACTTAAAATTTACTTGATTAAGAACGTAATTCTATTGAGAACAAGAAAATGACACACGAAAGGTTAAAGATGGAACGATAACACATTTTACGTTATCTAGAGAAAAGCATTTCCAACTCTCTATCACTCCGTCCACGTGTACGGCCTGTGATCGATTAAAAGAAATTACAGTGTTTCATTTTAGATTTGATTTTTGGATGTTATCATTTTTCTTGCGCGTAATTCTAGTTCTTAACTCTCATAAAAGAAAATCTAATATTAAAGAATTCAACCGACACATATCACAAGATCTCTACTTGCGCTAATTAATTGCGCTAAATGTCTTGTTTACTTTTCACTCCACCTGCTCCCTTCTCTTCACTCACTCTCACAAATCTACTTAACACTTCCATCTCCTTCTTCACTTTCTGAATCTTGAAATCGCACCAAAAATGGGGTCTGTTTCGTTGAAAATTGGTGACGGAACAGCAAGATTCAAGAGCGCCACCGTCTGTTCATCTGCTGTACATATTCTTATGTTATTTTCAGTCATAACCACAAATCTCTTTGCTTTATATGCCTTCACATACTCGCCCAAACCCCATCACCAGATTCACTTTCTGACCCACCATCATACCCACAAGAACATCTCTTTAATCTCTGAACAAGTCTCTCTCATCCTCAGAGAGATCGATTCTTCCCAAAAGAAACTTGCCCAGATGGAAAAACAGCTTCTTGGTTACGAAAGTATTGATCTTTCGACACCCAATATGCCAAATGAGTTGAAATTGTTTCTACAAAGGAATCAGCTTCCATTAGGGAAAGATTCAAGGACTGGGATCACAGAAATGGTGGCATCTGTGGGGCATTCTTGCTATAAATCCATGGATTTGTTGTCTCAATATATGAATTACAAGGCGAATGGAGCTTGCCCAGATGATTGGAGTCTTTCACAGAAGTTGATTTTGAGAGGATGTGAGCCTTTGCCAAGAAGAAGATGCATTGCCAGGTCAATTCCTAAGGTTGGTCTTCACCCTTTTCCTCTTTCACTTTGGAGAAATGTTAGTGAAAAGATTTACAGTTGGAGTGGTCTTGGTTGTAAGAATCTGATGTGCTTGAATAGCAAGAAACTGAATAGGGATTGTGCTGGATGTTTTGATATAACTAGTGGAAATGAGAAACAAAGATTTGTGACGTCTAGGGGCAAAAATGATTTCTTGATTGATGATGTTTTAGGTTTAGGAAGTGGTGGGATTAGAATTGGATTTGATATTGGTGGTGGATCTGGTACTTTTGCTGCTAGAATGGCTGAGAAAAATGTCACCATAATGACTGCAACTTTGAACATTGATGCCCCTTCCAATGAATTTATAGCTGCTAGAGGGATTTTCCCTTTATACCTAAGTTTAGATCATAGATTCCCTTTCTATGACAATGTTTTTGACATCATCCATGTTGGAAATGGTCTGGATATTGGTGGACAATCCCAGAAGCTTGAGTTCTTGATGTTTGATATTGAACGGATCTTAAGGGCTGGTGGGTTGTTTTGGTTGGACAATTTTCTTTGTTCTAATGACGAGAAGAGGAAAAACTTGACCCGATTGATTGAACGATTTGGGTACAAGAAACTGAAATGGGTGATTGGAGAGAAGATTAATGGTTCAGGGAACTCTGAGGTTTACTTGTCTGCTGTTCTTCAGAAGCCAGTAAGAGTTTGAAGCTTCTTTCAAGTGGTAAGATTAGTGTTGTGGTCGTTTTAATCTATTAAATATTGCGAAATTTTGATTAAATTTTATGGTTACATAAATTGAAATTCCTTTTAGAATGCGGAATAAGTGCAATGAAATGCTTGTTCGTATACCCTATAGGATGGAACTTAATTGGTTCAGAAATTCGCTTTGTAAGCTAGAAATATGACTTGATAGCCAAATTTAAACGAAGTTAGATTCTTCAACTGTTGTATGTATATCTTGAGTTGCTTTCTTGGAGATCCATTGATGAATCATATTGATAAAAGGTTATGAAGTTGGAGTCTTTTTGCAAAATGCAAGTAAGAAGCCATGGTGCACCAAGATCCCCCCACGTAAAGACTCCAACCCGCAGGTTATTCATGTATATGGATGTAGATTGGATACAAGATTTCAGTAATGGTCATTGCCCTGGTGCACCAGGGTCACCCCTCGTTGAAGGCCGTAGTGCCCAGGTTGTCTGTGTACATAGATGAGTACTACAATGGCTGTGCGAGTTGGTATTGTGATATGACTTTAGTCATACAAATTGCTGTCTTCATTACTACAGAAATAACACCTTTTTTTACTGTTAAGAGTTCAAGGGGTTAGACTTTGACCATTTGTTCTCCTCTGTATATTTTGGAACATCCCTTCTCTCTCTCTAAGGGTTCTTTTGGAGTGTGCTTCTACATATTTTTACATGGTATCAGAGTCAATATGTACCACTCTAGGAATCAACATTTTGAGACAATATGTACCCGTCTAGCCTCAAATGGAGGGGGCGTGTTAGGGTCCTGCATCGGTAGACTTGTACTATCTCTTAGTAGTATCGAACTATGTGTTGTTGGTATGAGCTGTGGTTTTATGGTGTTGAGAGCATTGCATTTGGGTTTTCTAAATTATCAAGGAAAATCTCCTTCCACTGAGCTGATGAAGTTGCAACTACTGCAGCTCTGTGGTTAGTCTTCTGGAATCCGACATACAAGCTGGACTGGTTTCCTGAATTCTTAAGGATAACTGGGCCAACTCATGGCCATTGTATGTGGTCGTTGCAGATACTTCGGATCGTGAGTTGGAATTTTAACTTGGGGGTGTGTTTTGTATGTGGACCGTACAATGGGACTGGACAGTTGAGAGTGAGGTAGACGAACAAAAGAATTATGTAATGTTTTAGGGATTCAGTTTAATCTGGGTAGTTGTTTAGCAAATTTAATGATCTTGTTCCATCTCCCTTGTTTATATTTTTTTGTCACTCAGTCAGTCATGTCCAGACTCCAGTACTGGACTGATGTTGTATCAAGTGTTAGAAACGGGTTTTTTTTATTGTCTTGTCATCTCACATACCAAACGCACCTTGAAGGCGTAGTTGATTGAGTTCATTCATCTTACGTCGAAATTGATTTGGGTTAGTTTATGAGTTTATGTAGACTAATTGAGTGTAGCTCTAAGTTTTTTAGTTTGTTAACAGCGTAATGAGCTTAATAAGACTCGTAGTTTATTCTTTAAGATATATGTGACTATTTGGTAGTGACTGAATGATGTAGAAAATGACTTTTTCAGTAAGCTTCTAAGGTGGAGCTTCATGTAGAAAGCCAAGTTTTTGCAGAACTTCTTATCACAATTAAAAAACACGCTTCTTCCATCTATAAAATACCCTTCCGAACAAAAACCTTCTCCATCTATACAGACAGATTAATCCACAAAGACAACTTTATTCATTCAAGACTTGGTATGAAAATTAGGGGGTGGCTAATGGCACTCTTATCATTTGCTAATGTCACCCCTAACTAGCTTTTAATCATTTGTTTTTTTATGATTTTTTGTGTTTTTTTGTAATTTTGTGATTATTTATTTATTTATTTATATTATATTTTAATTAATATAAATTATTAATAAATATATATTATT